GGCAGTGTGTGAAAAGATGTGGATGCTCTGAAGGACGATGAAAAGCTGGTCCCATCCTAGTGAAGGAAGTAGGAAGTACTAGACCGAAAACAGGAAGGGAACAGACTTAAGAGAAAACTAAAATAGTGACAGATACAGAGACGGTGAAGCAGGCTGCCGAAATTACGCTCTAAGGAAGAGCTCTGCAATTTAGGGACTGTCAGAGCTGTAAGGGCAGGCAAGCAATTTACAGAGGAGAGAATACAAAAGGCTGATAAAAGAATTGTTAATATCTGTAGGAAAAAAAATTCAAACATGAGCTAAAAAAAATCCGAGTTGCTCTGAACAAAAGAAAACGACAGCTCCCAGGAAATTATATATTTTTTTTTTTTGGTCAGCAGCAGTGTGGCATCAGGTTCTAAATATGAAATAAAACCTCGATATATCACACAGATGCAACAGGATATTTACTCAACAATGATCAGATAGTGAGAGTCTGGGAACAAAAACGCAGCAAGAAAAGTACGGCAGTAGGTTGGTAGACAGCAGCCATCTAAGGAGGTGCTACCCTCCTGTCGAATGAGTGTGAAACGGAAACCTGTTTTTTTTTTTTCACTCTGGCGAGTTTGCTGATCTTCTCTGTCTCGTGAGCACTTTAGAGGACTGGTAAATCTTTCACACTTCTCCTTACATTAGGTATACACACGCCTTTATTTTCCTACATTCTTAATAGTGTAATATTTCCTTTCCAACCTAGGAGGGCTGGTCTGAGACCGGATCTTGGGGAAGATAATCCCCAGAATTACTTGTAGATACAGAACCAAGGGCGATTCACCCAAAGGGACAGTTGTTGTGTATTTAATTGGTTAAGATAGTGAACAGATAAGTGTATGAATAGGCAATATTTGTATGGTAGTAGTAATGGTGTATAATAAAGATAAGCATCTTTATTATGAAGACGTTTTTCCAACCAGTGGTTTTACCAGTTCAGTACAGAGGTAATTTGAAGATGTTGAAACTGGAGATAGTAGAAGATGAGGTAATCAGTCCCTCGGCCTAAATGAGTGTTCATCACTGATGACCTCGCCCTCTACTCTTCCCAATTTCAACACCTTGAAATACCTCTGTTTTGAATTGATATCGCTACTCGTTGGCGAAACATCAGAATAAAGATTCCCAGGTATTGTGTATATCTTAGTCATACAATATGTGGTTCGTGGCAGCTACTGACAAGACATTTTTGTCCACCATGTTGCCCTCAAAGCAACAAAGTAACTATATAAATTAGCCTGAATGCATTTAAACATTCAAGACCCCGCTAGTGACATCACCTCAGGAAGACATTTTTCATCTGCCAAACAATGCAATAATTTATCATGTACATCTTCTCTATTTTCCCATTTCCACTTGAATTTGTCAAGATACATGTCGTCAAGAACGTTAAAACAACAAACCTGAGAAAATGCAGACTATTTATCCATTTCGTCCTTACATAATTTTTAAAACTTGGGGACTGGGACGCTGGGGCGCTGACCCCCGGAATACCCTGCAAGTAGACTCGAGGTAATTACAATAACATTCAGTATCTGTAACTACCATAATATAATAAACTGAATAGATAAAGTTTGTTTTATAAAAGCAAACTGCTGAACATTTTCGCAGATATTTATCCATTTGTCTCAGAGTGTCTTAACCGAACTGTATTTGTGAGGATCGAGTTTCAACTCATGGCAGTGCCTACACTACTTTGATGGTCAGTACTGATTTCTGTCTTCTTTGATGGTCAGTACTGATTTCTGTCTTCTTTGATGGTCAGTACTAATTTGTCTTCTTTGAGGGTCAGTACTGATTTCTGTCTTCTTTGATGGTCAGTACTGATTTATGTCTTCTTTGATAGTCAGTACTAATTTGTCTTCTTTGAGGGTCAGTACTGATTTCTGTCTTCTTTGATAGTACTAATTTGTCTTCTTTGAGGGTCAGTACTGATTTCTGTATTCTTTGATAGTACTAATTTGTCTTCTTTGAGGGTCAGTACTGATTTCTGTCTTCTTTGATGGTCAGTACTGATTTATGTCTTCTTTGATAGTCAGTACTAATTTGTCTTCTTTGAGGGTCAGTACTGATTTCTGTCTTCTTTGATAGTCAGTACTAATTTGTCTTCTTTGAGGGTCAGTACTGATTTCTGTCTTCTTTGATAGTCAGTACTAATTTGTCTTCTTTGAGGGTCAGTACTGATTTCTGTCTTCTTTGGTAGTCAGTACTAATTTGTCTTCTTTGAGGGTCAGTACTGATTTCTGTCTTCTTTGATGGTCAGTACTGTCTTCTAAAGCCTTTTCGTACCTACTTTTAGGTATGTGTGTGTGTGTGTGTGTGTGTGTTTGTTTCACAAGTTCTACTAAAATAAAAAAAATTATCACTTTGGCTCGGCAAGAACGGCTCATTGTGAAATCTTGCTGAGACTTCTTTATTAAATTATTTTTAACAAGAAAAGTTTGTATTTCACTCGCTAATATAGAGCTCAGTACATTGTTGAGGTTAGGCTGATATAACGGTAATTACAAGTTAAAGGTAATTTGTATCTTAGAGCGGTTATCCGTGGATAAGAACGATCATCCGTAAGTAAGAATTTTAAACTGTAGCAAAGAGCAACAGTTTGAAACTGGGAACAGTAATCTGTAGTTATGAACGGAAATCAACGGTAATCCCTAGCTAAGAACGATAATCTTTGGCTAAGAGCGGTAATTCGACCGTTAGAATGGTAATGTATAGCTAGGAACAGTGATCCCTAGCTATGCACGATACTTAGCTAAGAACGATAATCTTTGGCTAAGAATGGTAATCCGAAGCTTAGAATGGTAATCTGTAGCTAGGAGCAGTGATCCCTAGCTAAGCACGATAATCCGTAGCTTAAACGGTAATCCCAAGCGAAGGATTTTTCTTCCATGTTATACGTATCACACTTGTCATCTTTCACACATGTGGAGCTGCATCTTACCAGTGAGCTGCTCAGTAGTTTACTTAGTTCCTTGAGCCATTAAGAGATAGCTGATAGTCTACTTAGTTCCTCTAGCCATTAAGAGATAGCTAATGGTTTACATAGTTCTTAACTCATCAGAAATCCTTTAAATGTTCATCACGGTCATAAGACATTTTTAGTTTTAATCGATATTTACAATACCCGGAGTCTACCTGGAGAGTGTTCTGAGGGTCAGCGCCCCCCGCGTTGGGGGGGGAAGTTTTACTTGATTCAAGGAAAGGAAGACTAGCCCTTAACTAGCGTCAAACTTGCTCAGGAATCATGAATTAGTGGAGAGATTCCAAGAAATGCGGGATAAGCTCTTATTTGGAGTCTTTCCCTCTAAACAAAATGTTGTCTAAATGCAGCTCTACTTAGAGCTAAACATAGTCTTTTGGAATATCATAGACAAAAAAAAAAATGGCACTGACGACTATATATGTTACCTAAATAAACAACACATCTTGAACGGCATACAATACCAACAAGTTGATAAAAAAAAAGACACGTAAAGAACTTGGGTATTTCTACTGCCGATAATAAAGATGGTGTGAAAACAGTACGGATTTTGGATTATAGATTTAAAGGAAAAGTTAATTGAAATCCATAAATTAATATTTTTTGAACCCAAAAAAAATTAGTGGAAAAAAATTAAATTTCCCAAAAGTGGTAATACTGGTTCTCTTTTCATAGTGGTTCTTGATGGCTCTGATGAACCATGGATTTGTTATTGTGAATGTCACTGTTAGTTATGTTGAACCACTAGCGATGCTGTATGTTGATCTAAGGTGAGATGAGCGGGGAAATAAGAATAAGAAGTAAGAATAAGTTGGTGAGAGGAAGGTTTTGAGTGGTAGAGAGAGTACCAGAGCTTAACCCAGTAGCTTGGTGATGGTGGTACTAATGACTGGTGTAGCGGCGAGGAGCGATGCTTTTGTAGTAGTTACCCCTTAGTTGTTTTGTGTAGTTACCCCTTAGCTGTTTTGTAGTAGTTACCCCTTAGTTGTTTTGTAGTAGTTACCCCTTAGTTGTTTTGTAGTAGTTACCCCTTAGTTGTTTTGTAGTAGTTACCCCTTAGTTGTTTTGTAGTAGTTACCCCTTAGTTGTTTTGTAGTAGTTACCCCTTAGTTGTTTTGTAGTAGTTACCCCTTAGTTGTTTATTAAGTAGTCATTACCGTTTATGCTGCTGGTTCTGCTGTTTATGTTGGTAGTACTGCTAATTACTGTTGGCGCCGTTAGTACTACTTGGTAGTCGCCGTTTGTGCCTTTGTCACTAAGTGGTCATTACTATTGGAGCGATTTAAGTCATCGTACTGACTATTACCGTGATCATTACCGTTAGTGCCGTTGGTACTGTTTAATCATTACCGTAGGTGCCGTTGATCATTACCGTCGATGATCTTTACTATTGGTACCGTTGGTACTATTTAGTAATAACGGTGGTGCCGTTTATACTGTTTAGCGATTTCCGTTGGGTTGGATTATTTATATCCTATTTCATTTTTATTATTTGATTTACCGTTTTTCGTATTACCTTTGTTTTGGATAGCCATTATTTTAGATTATATTTATTTTGGATTACCTTTATTTTTTTAATTACCTTCATTTAATTACCCTTATTTTTGTGTTACCTTTATTTTTGGATTTTATTTTGAATTATGTTAAATTACCTATAATTTGAATTACCTTTACTTTGAATTGTCTTTACTTTGAATTACCTTTTATTTAAAATTGCCTTTATTTTGGATAGTTGTTTACCTTTTATTTCCCTTTAATTACTTTCCGTTACCAATATAATTTACCGTCTTTTTTTAAACATTACCTTAATTTCTTTTTCAGTTAATATTCTTTTTTTTTAATTCCATATTTTTAATCTTAATTGCCCCTTAAATATGAAGTCTTGTCCCTTTAATCATTTCAGTAATTACCCCTCATTAATGCCATTATTCTATCGTTATCAGCAACAGTTATTAAATGTAACTGATTTTGATTATTTTTGTTATAGGTGATAAACACTATGAGGTTCTCTCCAGGACACGATGCAGTTTTTAACGTAAGTTATTGTTGAATAACGTGTTGACGTTTCTAGGCTTAAGAACTGTTGTATTTTGGGTTAACTCATGAACAAACGTGTTACTAACAACGTATTTATGGTTAAGAAATGTTAAACGTATTTGTGGTTAACAAATGTTGAATAAACGCATTTATGGTTGAAAGTGGAGTAATGTATTTAGAGTTGTTGAATAAACGTATTTAGGGTTATAATCTGATGTATTTAGGGTTAAGAACTGTTCAGTAAATGTAATCTTTAAGACCTCTCAAGAGAGGTTCCTTTACGCTGGTGAGGGGCTCTTGATCTATGGAATTTGATCTATGCTCCAGTTCCCAGAATTAAGCCTGAATACCTTCCATCCCCCCCCCTCCACTGGCGCTGTATAATCCTACAGGTTTAGCGCTTCCCCATGATTACAATTTTCTTTAAGAACTACTTTCGAAGCGTCGTCTTGTAGATGATTGGAAGATGTGGGTAGGAATAATTTTTTGGGATGGTAAGAGTTGGATAGGGATAATTTTTGTACGAGGTAAATTGTGGATAAGAATGATTTTTTTGTGGAGGTAAATTTTTGGATTAAAGATTTTTGCATAGGTTACGTGGTGGACAAGGAGTACCTATGATGTACCGTTGATGAGTTTCGAGAGTTTTCCTACTCTAGCAGCCCGGCCCTGGACCAGTCTTGTCTGGCGCCTCCCTGGTAAGGTAAGGTAGGTTGAGGATAAAGGTAATTTTAGTGGTGGATAAGGGTGATTTTTTTTGTGGAAGGAAAGCGGATAGGCAAGAATTTTGTCAACATTCCAACAGGTGGCTTGACGCATTCCAGCAGATAGCCTGGCGCATTTCCAGCAGAGGGCTTGATGCATTCCAACTGGTGGCTTAACGCACTGCGTGTGACTGAAAGAACGGAATCCTCTGGCCAGAAGGTAATAGATTCGAACTTGTCTGGCTCAATAAATGAAACAACGCAGGCTGATTGTTGAGCGTATTCGTGGTGATCTGTGTGTTGTTGGAGGCCATCGTGGGTTGACAGTGGTGAAGTCAGTGTGTTGGTGGTGGAGATTTCAGTGTGTTGATGGAGATCGTGTTGTTGGTGGGGATCGTGTTGTTGGTGGTGGGAATCGTGTTGTTGATGGTGGAGATCGTGTTATTATTGTTGGTAGTGGAGATCGTGTTGGAGACCATGTGATCCCTGCACTGTAATGGTTCACATTTCTAAGGAAGCAGATTTAAACTTAAGCCTCCCGTCCTGACAGGCTCTTCTACATGACAATGAGACCACGGCGTTACATGACAATGAGACCATGGGGTTACATGACACTGAGGCCACGGGGTTAATCTTGATGTAGGTCGACCACGTGCTCCTGTGATCATGGTGTTTAGCAGCTTTGGAAGAAGTAACAGGGATGAAATATATTTTTTTTTCACGATTCATCTCGTTTCCCCCCCCCCTCTACCTATTCTCATCTCCCCTCTCCCTCCCCACTACTGCTTGGCATACCCCACAGAAGAAGATTTGGCTGTGTTTGTGTGCGCGTGGTGGTGCTGCTGCATTTGCTGCTGCTGCTGCTGTTGTTGCGTCTGCTTCTGCTTGCTCTTCTCCCGCCAAATGCCTTTATAAGTACGCCCCAGCTGTGTGTTAAGTTAAAAAAGGTCCTCACGCTGGGCTACTAACACGTAATACTTTACTGGACAAACAGTAGAGCTATATTTATATTTGGTTGTTAAGTATGTGGGAGCGAGGTTGTGCGGGGCATCAATTCGTCAAGAGAGTGAGCGAGGTGGTGGGAGGAAGGGGGTGCTGGCAAGGTGGTTATCGTCCTGCTGGGGGCGATGAAGGAGGGCCCGAGGCATGGCTCAGGATGAGAAGTTAATTTTGTTGACAAGGAATGGGGTCTTGGCGCGAGAGTTTCTTTAGGTTATCGTCAGTGGGAGTGGTTGGGCCATTATTTTGGTGGTGGCAGTTGTTGCAGCCGGCCGCTGTTCTGAGCACTCGCCTTGTAAATATCTACTGAGAATAAGGACCTGCCTTGTATGGATCAGTAGGCCTGCTGCAGTGTTCCTCCATTCTTGTTTTAATAAGGACACAGCCTAAGATTTATTTCACCCTGAGGTGTTAACATGGAACATCCCAATAAATATGTTATTGCCGACAAGTTGATGCATAAGACACATGTGCAACACTTAGGTTTTATCTTATTGACTCTGTTTCTCCTGTACAGCAGGCTTCGTTAGTCGAATACAGAGGTGATTACAGTACTGGAGACAGAAATGGAGAGGTAGTTTGTGGCGATCATTCCCTCAGCTTTCAAGATGACAAGTCTCCTAGACATGTACGGCTAACACCCAGGGACCTATTTACATATAGGTGAACAAGGGGACCAGGTATAAGACTTGCCCATACGTCTCGCCCATCCAAGGAATTGAACCAGGGTTTCGAAACATTTCTTTTAATACGTAATGTGTAAGTCACAGTTACCTTCCGTTGGAGAGTAATAATGGAGGAATATTAATTGTCTTAACAAGTGTAGCCAGACGTGTCTTTTGTTCCCCTCCTGCTGTAAATTCCTCGCCAGGTTTATGGGCGACAGTGTAAGCTATGATGGCTACAATTCATTTATTTTAGTCACAATTGGGAATCAACTGCGTCGTGGGGCATTGTCCTAGAAAGTAGAAGAGGAAGGAGAGAAAGAGGTTAAGTGAATAGCAGCAGGAAGATGCAATGTGAAGAGCAGTAGGTAATAGTAGAGTGAAGAACAGCAGAAAGTAGTGAGGTGGAGAGCTAGAGCATAAAGTCAACAAAGCATTTCAACTGCTAGACCTCAAGGTACTTCCAACGTGCTCTCTGGAAGTGAAGAAGGAAAAAATGCATGATAATATCCATGTGGAAGGTACTTCAGGTCAGGGCTCAGCGCTACACACTACCGTAACTTACTGGAGTGTAAAATAAACCCAGTGAAAGCAGGGTCATCATAGACACAAAAACAGAACATCGTGATGACATCCGTGATCCAAGATTCTTAACCTATTACAAGTAAATATCACAGATATTACTGCAACAAATATACAACTTTTCAAGAGGAGACTGGATATCTACCTCCGCCTTGTGACAGATGAACAAGGTTATGATGTTGCCTAAAGCAACAGCCTGGCTACTCAAGCAGCCAGGCCAGGCTGCTAGGGAAGAAACATTCTCAAAACTGATCACAGGTATATCACAGGTTCATTATCATTGTCTTGCGCCTCGATAAATGTTTAAACTAACTACTTGGTTGTGAGGCAGTACTTCGCCGGTACTTTCCCGGGCCGGGACAGTACCGGCGAACCTACTACTAAGGCCTTACACGAGACAGTCATGAAGCATGCCAGGCTGCGCACATGGCGCATTCCTGCCGTCATGCGTTTGTTTCTCCTATGTGTAAGTTATTTCTGTATTCCAGCAGCATCTCTCCAACAGTGGGCCGCAAGTTCCTTGCCCTCTACAGCATAAGTATTTTATTCTGATAGCTTTACGGTGTTAAAATCATGAACATATTACCAGCATTTTGATTCATTTGTTACACTGATACAAGGGCATCTGATGCAGTATAAATAATTTTCAAAACTATTTTATGTTTTGGCGGAAAGTATAATAAAATCGTTTAGTATGTTACCTGGAAGTAAATCGTCAATTTCCTTTCTGTTGTCAGGTATAAAAGGTGAGTCTTGGTAGATGACTGGTAGATTTGTATGAGAAACTGTGTACTCTAAGCCCTTCATGGGGATGGGTGGAGGACCATGGTCCTTGAATCATACTCGACTACTTCTGTACATAAACAAACCGCTCGTAGGAGAAGGCTTATGACGATGTTTCGGTCCGACTTCGGCCATGGACCATTGAGTGAATTGTATGACCCATACGTGTTTAGTGCCTCCTAATTAATAATAATTATAATATAGAAGTGTTACCGTTCACACACAGATATCACGAGAGCGGCGTGACCCTACATAATCATCTTAATGTATCCGTGGATATTGTAAGCATTCACGAGTACGCAAAGGGAGGTTCACATGTATACAGAGATAGGTATACACAGCTACACTCGTACATATGTGCACGCACCACGCGTGTACAGAGGGAGGCGTACATAACTGGTGCAGGTGTAGGCAGCGTGGGAATTAACCGCAGGATAGTTCTACATGGTGATACACTGGGTGATGGGTTACTTTCATACCTCGCACGCAACTTAACACACACACGAGCTCACACATTTACGCACGCACGCATATGCACTCACACGTGAACGCGACAGGTGCGGAATACAAATGCACACTGGGCACACGTAGGGAGGGACCTACACTCACAACGGTTGGGACATGGCCGAAAGATCGAGGGATTTGACTTCCAGGCTGAACAAGACGTATGGGAGAATATTGTACACTACGCAAATAACGCGCACATAGAAGAGAGGAGCTTACGACGACGTTTCGATCCAACTTGGACCATTTATTTGTGTATTGTTCCAGTCACGGTATTGTGACTTCGTTATTTTTGGGGGAATATTTTCTTACACAGCAGAACAAGGACAGTAAGTGGAACGAGAGAGAACCTCCACTTTCTGAGAATGATGGTTAAACCTTCCATCGCTTCATGGCTGTGAACGACAGCGTCGAAAGAGGTATTGCTCAGATCTCACACTTCAAGTGTGATGTAAACAGTTTAGAAAACTGACAAGGTGAAGAATGAAGCATTTGTGCCAATGACTGGCGAAACGTCTCCTCAATAAAGATTCCCAAAATGTTGCACAAGCTTCTCATTCTTCCCAATTCAAGGCTGAGACTCAGAAGCAGTGCTTGCTGAGACCCAGAAGCAGTGCTTGCTGAGACCCAGAAGCAGTGCTTGCTGAGACCCAGAAGCAGTGCTTGCTGAGACCCAGAAGCAGTGCTTGCTGAGACCCAGAAGCAGTGCTTGCTGAGACCCAGAAGCAGTGCTTGCTGAGACCCAGAAGCAGTGCTTGCTGAGACCCAGAAGCAGTGCTTGCTGAGACCCAGAAGCAGTGCTTGCTGAGACCCAGAAGCAGTGCTTGCTGAGACCCAGAAGCAGTGCTTGCTGAGACCCAGAAGCAGTGCTTGCTGAGAGTTGGCTAACCATGGGAAACCCCAACCCCCCTCCTCCCATATCTGAACATGTATTTCTAAATTTAAACAAAACGCAAAGTGCAGGTTGTGGCCAGGAAGGAGAATGACCTAGACAGCGAAGTGGTAGAAGCGGGATCCATACACAGCTTTAAGAACAGTTATGATAGGGCTCAGCCCAAAGTGTCTAGCTTCTCCCTCCAAGCCCCGTGGGGGCGGGGAATAGAGCTAGGCCTGGGGACAGTTGGTCACAGAAGACGATGAGGTACTTCGACCTCTTCCTATGGCAGACATTGGTCTGAGACACTCCTATGACAAGAAGCCGAGGCCGGGCCACCCCTTGAAAAAGGCCTGGGCGGGCGATTATACCGGCGAATCTACAACAGAACAGATGGGGCTCAGTAGCAACCACCGGAGAGGCGGGGTCAGGAGCTGAGATTCGAACTCTTGCAACCACAGTTAGGCGAGTACAATTAGGTGAAAATGTAGCAATCACACAGCTGAGTGAGGTCACAC